CCGGAACGCTAGCCTAGACTAAAAAAATGAGAAATCGCGATTAAGTGTGCCATTTTATACCCCACTAGTTTACCATTCATCGCAGGTGATAACAGCATAAGTAAGTGTTATCGTTGACACGGGATTTGCGGCCGCTGCTTGGCCCTTTAATATTCATAGATCATTCTAAGAAGGAACCACTTTCACCGTTACCGTCTCGATACTGCTGGCAACGTAACAACAGGTTATGTTCATATGCTCAATTCGTCAGCGCATTCGTTTGTAGATCGTTCACTTTTAAATGCCTTCAACACCACCTCTTGCATTGTCCAACATCCATTGACGACATTAATTGGTTTCCCGACCTCTCAAACTGGTCTCTTCTGACAGTAACTTCACTACACGAGGCTTCGTAGTAGGAGAGAAAATAGGAGGGGGTTATGTGAGCTAGTCGCACTAGCCGGTCACATAACCTGTGCAATAGTGCTGGTTTTGTCCTGGCATCGGCAAACGCGGTCGTGCTACGCTGGCTAAAAGTACCTACACGGTACGTATATGGCTACAACGAATGGGATGTAGCCAATAAATAAGGCAAATTGTACCTACAAGGTCTGTCCCAAATGTTCAAGGAATTATTTTTTTTCTAGATGGCAACAGTGACTTTGGGTAGGGATGTTGATGGGGGATCTAAGCTTCGAAACGAGACCGGTGTCAGTCACCTGTACGAAATTTTTGAGACAGGCTCGCGCTCCGCGCGGACAAAACATGGACCAGTTTGTGAAAGAGGAAAAAAACGGCGCGGAAACGCTCAAAATGCTTAGGAAAGCCTACGATTACGGGGCGATGAAACAAAGCCCCAATTTCATTAGGCACATGTTCCGTGAAGGTCGGAGTCCGTCTACGGCGGCGACCGCTCGGGACACTAGACTTCACACATGGACGACTGCAAAAGCGGCACGTTGTGGAAAAGACCAACGATTAAGTGTTCGGATGATTGCATAAGATTGTAAAATAGTCAAAACAATTGCTCACCGCATTTCAACTTTGGATCTTCAAATTAAAATTGACAACAAAAAATGCGACAACTGGGTCGTGCACCATGACTATGCGTCGCTCATTTTCTCCAACTTGCTGAGCAAAATGCGTGTGTCAACGCTGCCTCAGACATCGTGCAGCACCGATCTGCCACCAGCGGCCTTTTTTTATTCCAAGGATCAAAAGAACCCTTAACGGTACGGAAGTGGAAAATGCAGTTGTGACAATCACACAAAGATTATCATTGATGACTTCCGGAGCGTTTTCAATGATTTGGGGAAGCATTAGCAATGGTGCATCGAAGCAGGTGAGAATACTTTGAAACGTTCTGAAAAGATTGTAAACTGATATAGAACAAATATTTTTTTTAAAAAAAAGCATTCCAAGGACTTGCAGACATTTTATACAAGTTCACATTGTCACCACCACGTGACAGCACAAAATTTACATTACTTATAACGTCTAAACGCAATTTGCCTAGTATGTAATAGAATTAACACTATGAAGCCCTTTCTACCCCCCAAAAAATATCCATTCTTCAGATTGCTCTTCATAGTTCCTTGCGAAAATTACAAAATGTAGGCTAATAACGCGATGGTGACGCGCTTCCTGAATCCAACGCCGTATCATTCGTCCAAATCGGATGACTAGGCGCGTCGTAAAGTGAAAGAATATGGCCGAAAAAGGTTATAACCTCAAACCAAATTGATAATTGCGATATTCCTATGAAAGAATAAAAAAAAAAAAAAAAAAATACAAACATTCCAAAAAATCAGACTCCTAGGGCCAATATCTTACAGAAATACAATCAGAAAAGGGTTTTTCACGTTTCATTTTCTCTCACATTCTATTGCATGTATCCGGCTGAAACAAATTGCAGACATGGGAGAATATGGTTAAATTTGAATGTATTTTAATCAACCAATTTTGGCACCAAATTCAAATAAAAAACAAAGTTCGCGCGTAAAAAGAAGAAAATTAAACTAGTCAAATGCTGTTTACATATAGAAAACAGGACAGTTTATTCAGATGTTATTAGTATTGTAAATCCCTCTCTGACAGCACTGCAATCAGTGATAAGCTTCCTACAAGTATTTTTCAGTACATTTACCCGAATGAACTTGGCTCTATACGAATCATTCTTGTCACGTGTATGAGTATTTGTTAGAATATACATCGCACAATATATGAAATAAGATCCTCATTCCATTTGAACATTAAGCTAGTTATTTACTTGAAAAATAAAGATGGAATATTATCAAAAGAAATGGGGCCACCTAGACCAGGCTTTTGCACGAATCAGTGTTCAGTGATAAAAATAGATTGATAATTTTGTGCGCTGCCTGGTTACACACTCTGGACAGGTCACTGTTAATGATTACAAATAAACGTACACTGCTGGTTTAGGTATTGCAAGCTTATTCGAATGTATCACCCGACAATAAAGAAACTGACTGAGTTAGTTCGTTTTCTGTTTCTTCTGTTGTCTTATTTCAGAACTACATCTCTTAGCAATCTTTTGGACATTAAGTGTGTGTGTGCGCGCGCTTTGGGCATTTCTTTGCTTTGCAATCACTGAAGGATATAAACTTGTGGTAGAGTGGGGATGAACAATTAAAAAATAAAAGCTATCCTTCAATCCTAACAGGAACTTGGGACGTTATAGAAGTAGACTTACAATAATGTGAAAAACATTAACATTATATTTTTAGCACTGCTAGAAGCTGCATAGAAAGTGGACTGTAGCAACAGTGATATGAATATAAAATACCTTCGGAAGACAAAACGCAAATACAGTTTCAATGTGACAGTCGATACAGGATATTCTCTGGAAAATGAAGTAAAAGAAATACTTTTAATTAACTGTATCACATATTACTTCAATAAATATCCTGCCCATTTAATACTAAATTGAATCTGTTTAATATCCTTGAATTTCAATTTAATCAGCAATAAAGGCCATAAGTATATGGTATTTTGTAAGATAACCCAGGTACATGGCAAGATGAGAAATGATGCTATTTAATGCTCTGTAAAAGTATAATGATGGAAATTGTTACTGCTGATTTATGTGCTTGGGTGAGACACTAGCACCTGCAGCAGCAAAATTGCTGCTGGTCTAATTTCCGAAGAGAAGTTTCTTTCCGAAAATTGAAAAATGCAACATTATAAAACTACAAATTCTGAAATGGAACTTTTTTGGTTGAAAATGAAATAGTGCTAAAAAACACATCTTTAAAACAAGACCGTGTACAATTGTTTTGGAAAAATAATATTCGCGCTTTTGCTTGAAATTAATGCAGTTTGTAGAGCAAACGTTTTCACAAAAAACAAATACAAACCGATGCAAATATTTTTACACGAATAGGCCAAGGAACGTTTAAAAAAGAGCGTAGGTCTCATTTTCGAGTCAAATGATGCGAGGAAGTATGTGCTACTCTGAAGTCTCCCGCGGCCAGTCATATGGGTGATCTGGGCTGTCCGGATGACGCTGCGTCGAAGGCTGTGTTGCCGACGTTTCGACCATCCTGTCGTGGTCTTCCTCCCAACTACTGCGTTATTAGTTACTTCCGCTACATTAAAACTGAAACCAACTTTTTACATTATTTGCATACGTAATTCTGGCCTGATAAATATTTCAAATGCGCAATTGAAACGCGTCGAGAATAGAACTGTAATTTTTATTAATTCCTGTGATTTACACAGACTTTTTTCTGTAACAGTAAATGTCGGATTAAATGTATTGGATGAAATTCGCGAGTTAATCAATATTCCGTAAGTGAAATTATAATGCGAATCAGAATCTTTCAGAAAAACGGATTTTAAAAAGACATATTACTACGTACACAAAATTACCAAGATGTAAAAAATCAGTAACTATGTTATATCTGTCGCATTCAACATTCCAAACAATCACATGGCGTCACAAATGATGGCGGTTTAGTACACAGAAGAGAGATTATATTTAGAAATAGTGCGTATAGTTATTTCATTTAGCATAATGGTCACTTCCCGAAAGTCCAACAGCAGTACCAACATTTCATTTGCCAGTACTGCCATAACTAAGATTCCACGTTCACAATAACGAAATGTCCGATGGCTGGTTCGTTAATCATACGTAAATATAGTTCACGTGCGAAAACTTAAAAAAAGGAACCATTTACGAAAATGATCAACGCAAACTAAGTTGAGCTTGAAATGAATATATAACCTCACTAACTTGGTTGCAATATAGGTGAAAAATTGTTTTAATGTACGCACATCGAATAATAATTTATTTAAATAATTATTAGTACACGACTAATCTACTTCATTTAAGCTTTCCGAATTGCGGGTTCACTCACCCCACCTAAAAACAAACCACAACTAAAATTATTCCGTGACAAATCCCATAATTACATAGCTGCAAGTACGCAACAGCTAGTTTGACTCGATACGATTAATATGAACTTCCTGTTCATTCAAATGGGTAATTTTATATCACTTAAAAAAATTGCATTACATGAAAATGTACTAAGTTTAATTCTGAGGAGACAAGCTCCAACTAATATTCTAATAAATTAAGTTAAATACTGAAATTTATTATACTTAGGCAAACTGTAGTAGGAATAGCAGTTCTAACCCAGGTTTCAACCTCTTCACACACTTGTCCTAGCAGGGATTTTTGATTTGGCCTTAACATTATTAATAAGCCAGCCAGCCATCAACAGCAGACCAAAAAATGTAATCTGCACTACCCTGCTTCTGTTTCATTACCCATCTAAATATATATTGTAAGAAATAGGAATTCGCACAAATCTAATAGACATTATGAACATTTCTTTGCTCACCATGAATTACGTTGTAACTAAGTCATCAAAATTTCCTCGCATCTCATTCTAAAGATTAATGAAATGATCTTCACAAGAGACTTCCTAACACTGAAACTACAATATTCAAGTCCACTGTACTTTCATAACTACCTCAAATTAATTCGACGAGAGAAACTAGGTAAGAGTCTCAATCTTAGAAGTTAGGTATAGTACAATTTTAATTATTTTAGTCACAAACACCAGAATCATGTTAAAACTCATGCTTTCTAATTTTTTTATTTTTATTTTAAAGAATTCTTTTTTTTTTTTTTTTGTATACCTGTATCCAGACTTTATATCTTCAAATTCTTCAACCTCCAACTTCGAAAGATAATGTAAACAATCTTCTTCTTCCTCTTCCAAAATGGCTGAGATTTGAGGATGATTCACAAACTATTATAGGTTAAGGAAATTAATCAAAGATTCAGTAGAACAGCAACAACAGAAACAGTCCTATACATACACCTCTAGCTAACTACATGAACTTTAGGCCAATCCCAAAATTCTAGTTCCTGGTTAACAAGTGGCTAGCAAACTGTATCGTGAGAATGAACAACTGGCAACTAGTTCAGATAATGCAGCTAGTGTTCACTACCATTCTAGCAGCTGAAGACAATCTTTTTTTCGTAGCCAATGTATGGAGAGGTCTAATGATGAACTAACAAACGTATCTGCTCACCAGCTCTTGAAAACATGCACGTGTAGCTAGAAACTGGTCCATGGAAAACTGTGACATAATCTATAATTAATAGCAACTAGCAATGTGTGCACACGCTGTTAAACCAAGCAAAATCTTACAATTTCTGTTTGCCTTTATTCACATTTGTTCTACTATGGACTCCCATAACATGCATGACAGTATTAATGTTATCACTTTAACACAATATACAATAGAAATAACCAAATAGAAATACTTCAATTATAATTATTACTAATAAGAATTTTTTAAAAAGTGGCAACGGATTCTGAACACGATTGCAATTTTGCAGATATCAGTCAAACTCTCTGGTAGGTTGGGGACAATTTAAAATTGTCGCCCCTCCCCCTAAAATGCACACTGGATCAACAACAAACTAGATATTTCCAAGAAAATATCAATATCCTCATCAAAATAGATTATAAGAATCATTCATACCAAACCCACATTTTAAGCAATCAATGGATGGAGATCTTTGAAATCTTTAAGGAGAAATGTTTCTAGTATTACAGATGGTACACACACTATCAAGAACAGGATAGCGCTATTGATCTCAATAGAAATACACAACACCTACAACTAATTACTCATTGCCCAAGAAGCAAGATCATACACACAAGAAAAAAATATTCAATTGGAACAGTATGGAAAATCAATGAACAAAATGAAATTACTACATAGCATTGCTAAATGTGTTCAAATCATCTCATGTATAGAGCAGAATGTTTCTACTACCCACACCAAGATAATGGTTTATGTTCAAGTCTTAAATAAAATAAGAAAAAACAGTGTCAACCATTAACTCTTAATGTCATGAATAATTATGATTAGAATATCTCCACTAGTTTTAAATTCTTTTGAACGTATCTGTTTCAGCATTGTCGACTGCAACACAATACATTCATGTAAGTAATGCTCCTTAGGTCAAACGTTTTAGAAACTGGCTCTTGGAAAGCAACCACTATTATTTTTAGAGCTTACGCTTTTATACAGTCCCAAATTTCATTTCAAAAATTATTTACAACTTTAAATGCAAAATATAATCACCACAAAGTTTGAATTTGAAAAAATATTTGTAAGGACTTTTCTAAAGGAACCATAATACAAATTTTACAACGGAAAAACACTTCACAATAATATATTTCATTGATGTGAGCAAAGTCTCTGCGAGGTCTGGACTTATCACTTAAAATCCTTCATAAGAAGTAACAATTAAAGGAAATAAAATTCCACGAACCTCAATACGTGGTTTTGGGGTGCTAAACACCCACTTCTCAAATTACCAACCACAATTAGTGCAAAGGAAAAGTCAAATTGAACAATATACCATCTACTTCAACTCTATTAGCAAGTAAAAAACTCATCGCCAATTCATTTATCAGTAATGTATCAAAACCGAAATGCCAAAGCTATTTGGATATATGATTTCAATACTCTTCATAACCTTTGGTCCATGTATAAAATAACACAAATGAAATTTATTTCATCTTATAATATGACATCTCTGGGCAAAAAACTACAGTAATTAAAATTCAATACTATAAAAATGTTCAGAGCTATGTTATGTCACCCACTAAATTTTTCTCCAGTATGATGCAAGAATATTTGCGGACCAGCAATATATTATTAATAAGTATTGAAAATTGTAAGGAACCAAAACTATTCTACCCTTCAGTTCTTAGACATAGATAAGTGCTAGAATTTAACTTACAGATCTCCTTCTTCTTACAATAACAATAACTATGTAAACAAAGTCTCTATAATAAATTTTAGCCCATGTGCAATAGTGTAGTTACAGAGAATCGTATTACTGACATGTATACCACTTTTCAGAAAACAATCTCAAAAAACGGTTCAAGATAGAGAAGAAACTAAAAAAATTAGCAATAACAAGTAAACATAATACAGCAGCAGGTGGCGGGAGTGATAACAACCGACCTTCATTTGTTTATATCCGGCATTTTCACGTGTAGAGCGATCATGTTTCTGGCTGTATTTACACCATATCACACGTAACAAAATTGCTGCAATACATACTAACGCATATCTTCACAACTCATAACCATCAACATGAGTGAAACATTAAAGAACTCCGTACCTACAACAATAAACTCGTCAGAAAACATACTTGCAAGACAAACATGGCGGACAAAGCCAAAACACGTTCTAAGACCAACACATACACATATTCCAACAACACTAAAAAACTAAAAGGATACGGCAGTAACCCAAAAATTGGGTATTCTCTTGATGATGTCATTTCTCTTTTCAAAGTACGGCTTTCTTAGCTTGTTGTATTTTTGCTCAACTTTCAAAATCTCTTCGCTAGCCTTCTCGTTAAGAGCATCGATTTCGTTTTGACAAGCGTCAATTTCTTCCAAGGCTTTTTGAGTCTCTGCATCGTAATCTCTGCCATCATCAACTTCTCCGGATGCACTGGACCCTTCGACTTTCTTCACTTTCTTGGGAGTAGCGCCGGATGCGGACATTGTGTATGCTGAAAATGTGAAGCGAAAGCTTGATCCACACCAGAAGACACCACTCGCTCGCACACTATTCAAACTGGTCCGAGGGATAAAGACTATATACGAGCCAAAACGCTACGAAAGATCTTCTATGAATGGCCCGACAGAAAGTGTAATGGCGACCTACAGCGAATTGGACACGAACGCGGCTTCTGATCATCCAATAACATCACGCGTTATAAAATCATGAACAGTGACGTTCATCCGGGTTTCTCCGTACAAAATCAACATGGCATCCGAAAGTATGAGAAGTACTGTGTCAAGTGAGCAATATGCGGTAAATCATAGTAAATTGTCCAACGACTGTGCTGTTAATGATCGCAATTGTAGCATACAAAACAGTGAACCTACATTAGGTATTTCTATGAAATCATTGGAAAAGCGTGAAATTCATAGTTACCGTAATTTACCTGGTTTATTGGCGACGGCGTCATCCGCTGACAGTGTAGATATTAGAAATACTGAAAAGAACGAAGAATTAATATGCAGTGCCACCCCGACTTCTGAAGATAACGTCAACACTGATCACGGAAAGAGAAAGAGAGTGCATCACGACTATAGAAAATTGTCCAACTCTGGATATGTTGATGATGCAATGGGTAGACGCTATTCGTCTAGCACATCGAGTGCTAGTGAAAGCGATACACCCCCAAAAGTGTTAAAATTGAAAACAAACATAAAATGCCCAAGTAGCCACTCTAACACATTGAATGGAGGTAACGCTGGGGAAGGGAGACAAATGGGTAAGTTTTCTTACTTTCTTCTTTTTGCCCTATTATTTTCCCTTTTATTATTGTGTATGTCATTGGTAAACTTAGAGAAACGGATGTCATTGCTTGAACTATTTGTTGTCATTTGTCATGTTATGATTAGGATGGTAAAATTATGCACCTGGACATCACAATGTTGTATAGTCATAAAGTAAACAATGTCAGGTAGACTTTATCAACTGTCTCATTTGACTGTTCCCGCATTTGGGAGAAGGATACTCACTGCCGTACCACTGCTTAATAATAAACGTTGTGATTGTAGGAATTACAAGGAAAGTACTTGAAATTTCATTCTAAAAATATTTCAATTTGTAATTAATATTTTCAATGAGTTTCTAGAAATGGAAATATGCCGGTAAAGAAAAATCAAATGGGGTCATTGAATTAGCTTTGTAGTTCATGACATTGCTGCAATTAAAATTAATAAATTGCTGCTCTGTAAACATACAGTTGGAATGTGCAATTTAACCAATGACTTCACCCCATATCAGAAAAGACACGTTGTGTAAATTGTTCCACATTTTAGTTTTACAATTTAATGATGTGTTTGCAAGTTCAACCACAAGTTCTCTATGTTGTGATGAGAAACTCTCTGTTCCTGTTAACATTAGGTGTAAAAATAATTTAGAGTGATTAAAATTATGAATATTATTTCATCAAACATGTTCAATAATAGGTATCAGGAAAAAGGTTTGTAGATGGGCAGTTTTAAATAATCATACAAAAAATTAAAAGCTTTTAAGTTAAAACTGTTTGTCTTCTGAGTTAAGTTTACTACAGAATGAAAAACAAAATGCAAACTTTTCTATTTTCGATCTGTCTTGTTATTTAGTGACAGCCTATTCAACATCTAGTCTGACATTAAAAAGTACCTATGATCCAATTTCGAACAACTTTGGAAAATGTCTAAGCAGCATTGTTTTTGTAGTTGGATGCAGTTGATAGTGGTACTACATTAACACCTTTTGTCATATAGATTTATCTGGTCTTCTTTGAACATTAGTTTGCAAAAACTTATCCATTCCATAAATTTGATTAATCTGCTGGCCAAAATGCTGTAGTATCATTGTTAGTATTCAAAACTTGTAGATCAATCTTACTGTTTAAAATTTGTTGTATAGGTAGTTCTGTTGTTTGGATTTATTTATAAGATCAGAGCTAATCAGTTCATAATGTTTTCTGTATTTGGAAAAGCACGTTTTGGGTATGCAATATACCTGTATGTATATGTTTATTGTTCGCATGTTTGTTTATTTGACATTTTCATCGTAGTAATGTTTATTTGACTGGGATTGCAAGTGTTCAAGAATGTATTTGACAGTTTGGGAATAGTTAGGATGCTTGGCATGGTTGAATTTTGCCATTGTCATCTTTTGTAGGGCATCCACAGATCATATTCATTTTTAATGTCAATGAGCAAACTTGTCGGCTAGTTCTGTTTTATCATACATTTATGAGAGGAATACTGCAAAAAATTTTTTCCGAGATTTTAGTAATAGCATGTTTCTTGCTGGCCTCCCCAAGAGAAAATAATATTGTACACAAATATCTCATAGTATGTAGTGCTTCTTTTGCCTTTTCTGCTTGTTAGTTGTTGGTTTTATTTCTTCCCTCGAGTGTTGGATGCCCTATGAAATTCACATGCTTGAATTTTGTCATTTGCGGGTTTCTATGAAAATGCAAAGTAGTGGTGTAGTGGTTTTAGTTCTTCTATTTCTCATTCCTACTTTCATGCCTGAGCCTTCAAAGTTCACTTGTGATACATGCATGTTTGCAGTGATGAGAAAATGCTAAGTATGCCATAATAGCAATTGCTGCTTTTTGTGAGGCCGTTTTAACAAAATGAAATGCCAGTAGAACTTATTTTGTGGACAAGCATATAAATTTTAACTATCTTGTTTCTGGTCTCGAGAATCATAAAACTAGAATAATTTACATAGAAAAGAGTGTGTAAAATGTTGATTTATATTGTTAATTTTTTAAGTACTTGTGTAAATGGATTATATACTACCAGAGTTATATGATTTTACATCTTTAACGTCATTTTCAATCTTTTTATCATACTAGACAAACAACCTCTTTCACTGCCTTGTATTAATGGGCTCATATTTCAAATATTTTGTTTTAAAAAAATATCAATTTGAAAAAGCAGTAATTACATGTAAAATTTGTAATTACTTTAAAGCATTTAAGTTGTGTTTCATTTCATTGCAATAATATTGTAGGATCCTCAAAACATAAACATTCTGAACACCATAAGCGACACCACAAGAAGAAAAAACATAGAGATCGAGATAAAGAAAGGGCCAAATCTAATGATGTGGTGAAACATAAGAACGTATTGAGGGTAAGTGTTTGTATGGTATTTCATGTGGAAAGTAGAAAATATATAATTACACATTTATTTTCTGTGATCATGAAACAAGTCATTAGACTTATACTATCCACAGAACTGTTTACTTTTAAAGTCGATGCACCTTCCATTTTTTGTATTTCATTTTTTTACAGCTGCAAATTTTTAATACATTATTTGTGAGATACACGGAAATTGACAGTAGTTTATTTGGTATTAAATTGAAGAGTTCTGTCACTTTTGAACACTGGTTTTACTGTGTTATATCTTGCACATCAATATTTTAATTTTTTAAATTATTTATTATTAATTAATGGTTTTTGGACTAGATAAATTGCTATGGGTTTGATTTAACTTCTTTCTGGTGTGGAAATTTGTGATCTTGGTGTCTGTGCATGCGTACCTTTTAGTGTTTTGTATTATAAACACATTTCTTCGATATTTTGGTTCGACATGCTGAGGCTGAATCATTTGGTGATGGGCGTTTTGAATTTATTATATAAATTAATTTACATTTTTTCCCCTTTCTAATTGTGTTATAAATGTGTAGAATGTAAAAAATATGTACAGAAAACTAATGATTTTTGACGCATTTTGTATCGTTTAGGTTTCTGCAGCATCAAGTACAAACTTAAGAGTTTCACCAGAGCCATTAAAATCTGATGGAGCTGTACCTTCAGTTCATGCTTCCAAAGAAACAAGCCTTAATGTGATACATCAAAACCAAGAAACAAATAATTTCATGCCTGTTGCCCTGATCAGTACAACATCAGAAGCATCTTTTGGTGAAGAGCACAATGTGAAAGATATGGACGATTCTGAGAATGAACGGACTCGATCAGGATTTATGGATACTGTGGACAGGTCATGCGATGTCATTCGTGTGAGGTGTTCATTTGCTAGTGCGACTGCTCCAGTGGTTCCTCAATGTTGTGATCCTATTGTCCAAGTGAATGAGGTCTCTACAGTGAGCGTTTGTCCCAGATCTCTTGAAGAAACACAAGTTGAAGACACTACCACTGTTCTATCTGTGATTAACTGTGAAGACATTCCTTTATCAAGTGAAAGTGAAAAATGTTCTAGGGAATCTGTAGTACTGTGCAAATCAATTGTAAATAATCAGGTGAGGACAAATTGTGATACAGATGAAGCAGACAGTGTGAACGTTGAAAATCATGACCCAGGACATATAGAAGTGACAGTGGCGACAAGTAATTGGCAGGAGTGTGCACCTTCAGTGCAGGAAGCAGAAGACGAACACCATCTTGTGGAGAGTCCTGGAACGCCATTAATGGACGAGCAACCATACTCTCCCCATTTGGGCATTACTACTGAAGTGTTGACAGATAATTCAGATAAAATTGACAGTAGTCAATTAACAAGAATGAAGTGTGAAGAGGAACCAAAGAAAGTAACTAATGAAGTGACTCCTCAACAAGAGGAGCCGAATGTAGAAGGAGAAGAAATGGCTAATGCTTGTGGAGAAGCAACAGTCTCTGATAAAACGCTTGAGGAAAGAAGTTTCACCCCACCGTTACCAGCCTTAAACCATGTACATAGCAATATAAGTCCTAAAGAAGCAACTGATGGTAGCTGTAAGTCAGATGAATTAAAGTCTAAAATTTTGCCTTCTGGAAGTGCTTTAGAACTGAATTCTGAGAATTTGTTACGTGAAACTGTCAAGGTCATTTCATTTCCTTCATCCACAATTTCAACGAATTCACATTGTGAGGTGGCCAAAGTTCCACAAGAAACTGCTGATTTGGTTCCTGAGTCGAGTACCTGCAAATTAACAGATATTCAGGGTGTACCAAAGACAAAATCTTCTGGTGAAGAACCAAGTATTGGGGATACTAAACCTTCTGAAATAGATCGAAAAGCTGAAAGCAGTTCCTCCAAATCTGTTAAAAACAGTGAATCTTCTGGGAGGGATAGTCATAGGCATCACAGTAGCAGTTCAAGAACGTACTCGAGTCATCGGTCCAGCAGAGATAAAAGAGATGATAGGCATAAAAGAGATGGAAAGTCTGATTCAGGTGATTCAAATTCTAAAGATAAACGAAGTAGAAACATTAGTCGAGATGATAGGAAAGATCATTCCCGAGGATCGTCGTCATCTGATGGGAAGAATTATTGTGTTAAGTGCCAAAAGCGTTCAAAAATTAAGAAAGCAAGTATAGGTGTGCAATGTCGACGTGAGAGATTTTTTGAAAAAGGTTCTTTGTATTCTGGACCTAAAATTGATTACCAAATGAAGCATTATTCTCTACCCAGACCTTTGCCTTATAGTCAACCTGGCCTTGAGAATCTCAAATATGGAAGGTTTATTCATGTCGAAACTTATCCTAATGGTGGTGCTACTATAGTGCATATGTACCAGGATGAAATTGACTGTTTAAATAAGACAGAGATGGATGAATTAGCACAAGAGTACTTCAAGGTACAATCTACATCAAAGTTTATTTTTGAATAAGAGTTTAATTTGTGTATTTACAATAGAAAGTAAATGTTCATATTTATGCATTCAGATTGTGTTTGGCGAGGATGAAAAGGGATTCGCTTATCATGTGATGGGTATTGTTCATGATGCTGCAGCATATCTACCAGATCTTTTAAATCATATGGCTGATAATTATCCATCTCTAACAGTAAAAAATGGAATATTAGGAAGAAGTTCTGACATTGAAACTACGACAATGGCTCAATACAGAGATCAGGTATTAGAAAATAAATACATCAATACAAAATACATTTAATTTGCGAAACTAGGCTCTTGACGTCTTGCCACTTTTCTATTTTTGTGTATGTTTTTTATTATTATTATTATTTTGAAATATGACATCTATATTAACAAAATGTCTCTATTTAAGGTGTGCAAACATTATGCAAATGGAACTGTGCGATATGGCCCTCTTCATCAAATTAGTCTTGTTGGAACTGTCCATGAAGAAGTGGGAGGTTTCTTTCCAGATTTCTTAGCTAGACTTGAAGAGAACCCCTTCTTAAAGATGGTAAGATGGTGTATTTGAATGTCAGAGCTATTTGTAACATTACCTAGCACATTCTGGACTTGTTTTTCAGGCTACAATTTACCCACTGTGCCTGGTTCCTTTTGAGCAGTAGGTTCTGTATCTCAGGTTAAACCTTTTGCCACTTATGTCCAATATAGAATATCTTTGCTATCATATATTTTTGTATATAAAATAAAGTAAAACAATCTTCTTTGTGTTTGTGATTAACTTTTATAACCTGCTGTCTCTTATATCACACACATGCATAAACACATTCTGGAGAAATGCTACCTCCAGTAATTTGTTGGATGTACTAGTTTGTGTCATCATCGGCCTTATAATCTTGACCAACCTTTTGATATCCACAATTTCCATAAAACCATTCAGGATTATGAGCTGATTCTAAGATTTCTTGAGGAATTGTATCTAGTACTAAACTTGTGAGTCAATTTTGGTTTCATTAACCTATAATGTATTAATTTGTTTGTTGTTGGTGCTGCTATAATCACTACAGTCACTTTATGACCTCAAATTAAAAAGGCTCTAACTACTAAATAGCTAATTTGACACGAGAGGAATTTGAAACTAAAATATCAGTAGGCATTAAAATTACATTCAAATTTTAAAATTTTTGATGGTTATTCATAAGTGTAGAATTCGGGACCAAGGAAGCTTCCTTTAATAACTTAATATCTTTAAAAAGTTCGAAATATTCTACAAATCTTATCTGCAAAAAAGTTTTAAACTGCTCCGGAAAACTGGGGAGTTAGGGAAATTTGTTTCAGGAAATGTGTGGCCACCCTGGTAGTGGTTTGTGTATGTTTATATTTTACGATTCCTTAATGGGTTGTCCATAAATTACATAATGCTATAGGGAGGGTGTCGAGGCAATATTACTCTGTTATATAGTGTAGGGAGGGGTGTTAGTTTAATATTAAGTAATGCTGATGTGTATTGTTTTAATTTTTCATTTTTTGCTGAAATCATTTTTATTTAGTCTTTTTCTAAAGTATTAAGAAATTAAGTTTTAAAAACTACAAATAAAATAAAGAATTACAATGCATAAATCATTTTAAGAAATGGAAATGTATTTTCATCAATTGTATATTGATTGAATTTTTTGGGATTGTGAAGAAAATATTCAAAACTGATCTATAGTATATTCTAGATTTGAATTAAATTGCTGCCATAGACTTGTCCATGAGTCATCCATAACAGGGTATGCACTGCTTGTGGTCAAAATTTTTCACACCTGTGTGTCCTTCAATCATTAAAAATATTATACCCAAATAGATGCAGTCAGTGTTGCGCACTATTCTGACTTTAATTATCATAAATTTTAATATATAACAAAATTATTACAAATTGCGGCAGCGAGAGAGCTAACCCACTAAATTCAAAACATCAATTTTTTGACATATTCAATATGTTCATAATTGAATACATTGTTTGCTCTCTCATTGGATGCCTCAATTGTTTTTACAGATATATAATTTATTTTTTTCTATTGTTTATGGGGGGGGGGAGACTGCCACAAGTGTTCCATAATTATTTAGAAGGCTTCAAGCATGTGTTAGAATGAAGGAGAGGGATTTCACAGTTCTTCAAAATTGTGTTGTTTAATTTATGGGTGGCCACTACACACTTACCAATTTGTCGTGCTGACTGGCCAGGCAAGCCGACAATTGGCTGGTGCTGACCACATGACCGCCGATTCACCCGCCATACTGCCAGACAAATTGTTTAGTGAGTAGTAGTGGTGGATCAATTTACAGTGATTCTAGACCTCAAAACACAGACTCAAATGTGAAACAGTTGTTTAATTCAAGTTAATTGAAGTTCTGTGGTGTTGAAGGGTTTTGGAGGTTGCTGATTACGAATATGAAGTAAAAAATTGCAAGAAATAAAATAACGAATCAAATTTGGCAGAAAAATAAAACATAAAATGCAAATTTCATTTCAAAATCGATTATGTAAGCAAATGTTGACAATAATTATGAGAAAGAATGCAGTGTGTAGAAGAGTCATTGTTTTTATAAATAAACTAGCAATTATGTACAATATCATTAATCAGTATGAAGCGACTTGAAAACTCATTTATTTAAACACATGCCAGCAATACAGTTGCAGTGAGATACAGCACCTTAGATGATTTTGAAAGGTAATGCATAGTGTATACATATTACCTTTCGATATAAAAAATTGCAAATTTGACCATGGAATTATGTACTATAACATATGTTTTTTGAGAATGTCTCATTAATTTTTTCACTTCAGCAATTAACAAATGTTCAGTGTTCACGTGAACAAAATCTTTTATTCTACCTCAAGTTATATTTGTTCATAATGTTTGTCAAGAATTTTGATAACCTGATTGTTTTCTTGCTGCGATAATAGAACATGGTTGTACTTGGTTAGCTTTCATACTGAGCTTTGAATATAAATACAAAAGTTGTTATCCTCACCTGCATTTTTACTCAATGACTATGAGGGTAAACTATTGTGAACATAAAAATTTCTATTTATTCTTTTTTATTTTGGCACAGTGATTCCAGATTTTCGAAGTCTGTTCAACAGCCAAACAGCCCAAAAAACAGCATTTCAATTTCCTCAAATTTGCGTCATACTCGCACAGATGTTGCCTTCTCAAAATTCTGAGCAGTGCTGAAAAATCGGGGAGTTGGTCAAGATCTGTATGTTTGCCAATAAAATCAATAAAGAAAAATGGTCTGATTTCTCTTCTGCAGAAATTGCCATCAATTCAAGCAATTCACATTTGGCAAGAAAATTAAAGTTCATTCAAGATTTTAAAAACTCCACTTGCAATACAATGATATGTATGTACTGTGCAACTGGAAAGTCTAAGTCTCTCTGCACTGAGCTGAGGCAGGGGCTGCTATCGCTGCCATATCTTAGCTTCGCAGCCATCCGCACTGCTATTGTTGCACATGTTCTGTCACCTCGCCCCTTTCCCCCCACAGCTTCTGCTCCCCCCTCACCTCCTAGAGACTGCTAGCGCTCCCAGATACCAACATAATTTGTGTTGCCTGTACTCTCATCAGCAAGATGACATTGTGGAGAGACTTTCCTGATGATCTGTACTTCAGTTCAAATTGTGCAAAACATTTGCTACAGTGAAACACATGAAGTCACATTGCAGTGGTGTACTTTACATTTGGATATGAAACACCTTATATTTGCCTGCAATAGAGAAATTATGTATTAATGAATGCCGCCGCAGAATGCCACCACACAAGTATTATTTTGCTGCTGACGGTCAGCTTCTCCCTTTTTTTCCTTATTCCTTTCTTACCTTACATGTGTTGTTGTATACTTTGCATTCATTCTAAGCCAACAATTCTCAATTTTTCTGAAGGAAACAGTAAATTAAATTCTGCATTGAAAATATTACAATACATGTATCAAGATTACAAAATTACATTTCCTTCTATACATTTGACAGTACAAGTCATACATTTTTGTTATATACAAATTTGTGTCAAGATATTATTTGTTACTGTTAGCTCTGGAGTACTACCAGTCCAGTTTTTAGAAATTACTTAATGTTGTCTAAGACTTTTTCATTAATTTATGCTGGAATTAATTTGTTTGATATAAGCCCTGTAACATGTGCTTCGAAACTTCACTACACTATTTGACTTCCTTTAGCAGCAGTAAACAATCTTTCACTGAAACTCACAACACCCACTTGTCAGTCTTACTCCATTTTCTCCAAGCTGCCAGTATCACGATTCTGTTATCAGTAGGGTGCAGATTCATATACGCTCTAAAAATCTTGAAAATATGCACCGACAAAAGAGTATGTTTAATTATATACAAAATAGTTTGATTTGCATACTGAATGATACTGAATTTAATTTATATTGCAAGAGGTTGTAATATATTTTTCAAAGTTTTCTGTTGTGAATCTTTTTCTCTTATCTGAAGGAATATTCTTGTATACAAAAAGTTATTTCAACTTCACAGGAGTTTAAGGGACAATACTTAAAAGTTGCAATTTCTTTAACTGTGTAATTTTCAACATTGTTTCTCCCTGTAAAATGCCACTTACCTTTGTCACCATTCTCAAATTGCGATTTCTTTCTTCCATTTTCTTCATATTTCTGGCTAACAGTTGACCTACTGGTTCTATCAAATTATAGAATGACAATGCTACAGAGTTGAATAAGTTAAATGCAGTAGTTAGTTCTTGACCACGTTCTTCAAGCTTGGTAGTGATTTTTGGCAAAGTTTAGATTTAGATTTATTTAGTCAAAAAACTGTATGTGATGTTCGGGCGAGAAGATCATCTGTGCATGTTTACTTGAGTTCCAGATTCCCTTCCCATTACTTTAACTATAAATAGTTGAAAGATGAGTAAAAAAATAAAATAAAATTTAAGAAAGCGTAAGATTAGAAACATTTGTAAAAGTAGACTTTTTTGTTACCGAATTATAGATAATTTTTTTGCAATGGTAAACAAACTGCAGATTAGATTTTTATGCTTTGCTAACAAAATAGTAACTCACCCTTAGCTCGAACTCCTACCATTACAGACAAAAGGAGAGTTCAACAAAACGTGTGCATAGTGGAGGTGCATTTATGTCTAGAAGCAAAACAAGGGGCTATCTCAGCATTTGCTCAATGTATCAAGGAAATTGGACAAATGCCTGATGGAGATGAGGATCATTGACCCGGAAGTTGAAGTACATTATTTGTTACTAGATTATTAAGTCTTTTTCTTTTATTACAATACAAATGCAAATTAATTGATTATATATCACTATTTTGTTAAAATAAAAATTATTTTTCTTTTGGATGATCAATATAGTCCCTAATGTATAGAAACCGTTATGCAGCATAATTGTATAGAAAAGTACTGTATTGTGCACCAATACATGTTAGTTTACTTTTGATTCCTTTATCATATGCATATATATTGTTGCTGAATTAATACGTGCCTCATTTCCATTCAATAAAGGAAGTACCTTCTTAATTGCTTCAATGTGCGACCAGTAATAAAGTGCAGCATTGAGCTATGTTCCCCAATGAGCTGTGGCGGAAGGGGAATTTCTAATAGTTCGTCTTTAAATATCTGTATTCACAGCAGAGCTTTCACAAAAGTTCTTTTAACAGAAGAAATCAAATTATTAACTTTAGGTTGCTGCAAATGAATCTCTTGGGCAGCACAATGGAGTCCATAAATAATGCAAGTAATGTGGAGCATTTTGGGGTAGAACACTTGAATACCGCTGCTTTCAGTATGCTGCTCTATCCGTCAGAAATATCAAGTATCTTCCTTTGTGCTCTTCTACTGGCTACAATATACACAGTGCATCTCTCTCGGATCCTGCAGCTTTGGGATCCAATTCTGTGTTTTCTATAATTTTTTAACTCATTTTAATGAGTGGAGTTATGTAGTTTTTACATAAAGTGAACTCTGGGAATTTTTCTGTTGGTGAACTTTTCATTTTAGTTTCCCTTTGGCTTCAACTCTAGAAGAGATTGAATTGTATTTTCCAATTTCATTTTTATGTGAGATGCAGTTTGCAAATGTTGATACACTTAAAATTATTTGGTCTCCTGCTTGGAACACACTTAGCAAAACACATTTTTCCATTTGAAGTTATAAGTTTTCTCACTTGCAATCGAACTCTGCAGAAGGGAAGCACACAAGCTCTTGTCTTTTGGCATGCATCTTGATTTAATTCTCACACTACACAAGTTACTTAGATCAGCAAAGAAACTGAACCATCAATTAAAAACAGACAACTGGATCGAGTTATAGCAGATTTCGAACTAGCAATAGGGGATATTTTAACTTCAGAGTCAATGAGAACTAAATTTCTCTCCCAACATCTGCTTCTTTTAATTCTGACGCTTCTGCTGTTGTGACCTTGTTTTTCCCATGAGGTTGACGATGCCGAAACAGTTCCTTGCACGCAAGGAGGGGCAGGGGATGGGGCAGACCACAAAGCAGGGCTGCTGCTTTTCCACAGATCCGCAGACATGTCAGGATATCGACTTTAGGATGAACTGTACTGCTCTCATCATCCAGAGATGATGAAAACTCGAAAACCACCTCAATATTTGCATTTTACAAAGGGGGAAAAATGTAAAATATACAAGTATATGCTCTTAAAATGAAAATATGCTCGATAGTCAGAAATGTGCCCTAAAAGAATTTGTTTATTGATCCCAAACAACAAGAAATGAATTTGTGATCTTTATGCATATCATTGTGTGTCAGGGGGGGAAACGTGCAAATATACAAAATCTGCAGCCTGGAATTCAGATTCACCAGTAATGCAGAATGAAGCAAATAGAAACTTTTTATTCTCCCTTCTAGGTATAAATGTATATAGAACCGTTTTACACTGTACATTGCTTTTTAACAATCAAAATAGACTTACAAAATTCAGGAACCAGATGGAACTCTGTACCTGTTATCAAAATATTTGTGGGTACCTAATTTTCAATAAAAGTTCTAATTAGAATCTTTTTAATTCAACAGTCACCATTCGTATAATATCTATCATGAAAATCAATATCGTTTTGGTTTTGAGTCTGCAAATAATTTCAAAATTTTCACCTTCATTATTCTTTCTGCCTACGTTTTCAAGTTATCATTAGTCAATAATTTTTCATGTTACATGTATGTGGCTACGAGTAATATGGGTAACCTGTTCCTAAAAGTAATCCGGCTTGAAGTTATATGATAGGGGGTCTTTACGCAGTTACAAACATACTAAGTTATTAATATCTTATTGTGTAGTAATACTGAAATGTATTCAACATTTTTTTAATATTTTTTAAAATGGAAAAACATGTTGAAACTTCCTAACCAGGTTTTTCAAAATGTTGCGTTTCCTAATAGTTTGATCATCATTGCTTATGTCATCAGTGCATACGAAAGTGATGCATCTGAAAAACTGTCATTTTGCAGGAGAAGGGCTTTATCATAGGCAGAGCTCTTAACTTTGTAGTAAATGAAGTAGACCGTGTTTGCGCTTTCTTGTCTTGTAATACAGAGAGGCTAACGTAAAGCTGCAAAAAAAATTGATGGCGAGATTTTGATGTAAGTAGACATTTTGGTAAACAATCCCTACTATAAATTATCAAGGTTACAGCATCATAAAAAATGGATTGAAATGTACCAACATACACCATAAAAATTTAAATTAATAGCAGATCCAAGGACTACATGTCCTCACCCACAACATTGTTAGTGATTTTACTGCATTCAAAACAATTATAACATTGATCGTATTACATCCATAGTATTCCCATTGTGAATCTACATATTTATGTAGATTTGTTGTGTATTGATTTGTTGTGTTGTGTTATGTAGATGTATTAATCCTACACCCCCTTTTTTTATCTGTCCCTGAGTTAGTGCAATATCCATTAGAAATCATCTGATTTACAAGTCTTCTAAACTAAGATCTCCACCATCAGTTACTCTAGTTGATGGCAAATTGGATAATTGATATTTCTGGCTGCTCTCCCCAAAGTGCTCTAATTTGTGTGCGGGAATGACTTTCGATTAATTACATGTATAAAAATTTTACTATGATATATTTTCAGACTATGCCTTGGGGCCAGTTGTCAGTGGTTCAAATGGAAACTCCTCAAGAATCAAACGATGGACCAATTTTGTGGATTCGACCTGGGGAACAGTTGGTTCCTACTGCGGAAATGGGCAAATCCCCTGCAAAGCGAAGGCGGTAAGAAAATGTCTTCAACCAATGCCTTTGAAGTTAAGTCTATTCCAGATTTTGTTTAATATCTTCTTTTTTCAGAACCGGTATAAACGAGTTACGCAATTTACAGTACCTGCCTCGTCTCTCTGAAGCAAGAGAATATATGTTTGAAGACAGAACAAAAGCACATGCTGACCATGTTGGACATGGTTTGGATAGAATGACAACAGCTGCTGTTGGTAAGATGTTTTCCTAATAATTGGTTTTAAAGTATGCTGATACAGTGTTAGTTCATTCTGTTTCTGTTACCTCGTTGTTCCAGGTATTTTGAAGGCAGTTCATGGTAACCAATCAACACAATATAACAGGATTACAAAAGATGTAGTTGCCTTTTATGCTGGTGATTTCCATGAATTAGTTGAAAAGTTGCAGTTAGATCTTTATGAGCCTCCTATTTCACAGGTGGGAATATGACACATACTGTTTACTTAGACTTGTTTTTATCATGATTTTATGCCTTAATGCCAAGAAATGAAACATAAGTCACCACTGTATGTATTTCTCTTATTTGCCATAACATGGTTGTATGCTAACATCACAGTGAAAAGAAAAAAAGCATCTCCTTACTTTGAATGCTGTTCAATACAAGTGAAATGCATCAGCAAAATGAAAAGTAAAAAATCTGCGGAAAACATTTCACTAACTTTGAATGTATCTGTGTTCGCTTGAAGTTTCAATTTTTATTCTTCTTCTACTCTGCGTAGGGAGTTGTATTTGGCATGTAATTCTTCTAAATGGCTCAGGAAATAAATCATGTTCATTAAGATGCTTGATCTGTCAAAAAGTACTCCAAAACCCTTCTGTTCATGTGATTAGGAGCCACCTGTTTACATTATACAGTGTTTTTAAGACATACATCCAGCATGCAAACATTCATTTTACACCTTATCATCCACCCAAGGTAACTCAAAACGGGTTGAATTATCTTGTGAGAAATTAAGAACTTTTGAAAATTGATTCAGAACTTAGTGTCTGAACTTATCATGGGAATGCCTTGCAGAAAATGTAAAAAATCTCCAAGTATAGAGACAGTCCTAGCCTTTCGAATTATATTTTGATGTAGAGGATGATATAGTTTTAAATAAATGTGGGATTAATGGAATTATGGTACTACGGAAGACTGAAAATTGTTGTTAGGTTATAAGCGTATTTACTATCTTTTCCTACAGGCTATGCAGTAAAATTAAGAGAAACTTGCCAAAATGTGAATATTTTCTAAATAGAATCAATTCCAATTAATTTAATTGGTAGTGCTGTGTGACTTTGAGTAGTGGAATGTGACATTCAAAATATCTGTTAAACATGATTTCCACCGCAATCGAGCAATGGAAATTGCAATCGGAAAAAAAGAAGGGAAAAATATAGAGGGAAAACTTAATTCCCTTCGTCTTTTAAGAATCTCATGTTCTGACAGATCATAAAAGGGGCTCAATACAAATTGTAGCCTTGTAAATTCTCTACAGTCCCCCAAAATTTCAGCCTTTTATTTTCTAATTTGCACCAGACCGCTCAATATAAATAAAACTAATTTAATAGTTTTGTATTTATTTTTGTAAAATTAGGTTTTGTTATATTTCTGTAGTTTTTCTGTTTTATTTTTATTAGAAAACATAAATAATGAAAAACAAATGTGTAAGATTAAATTACAATAGGTTGTAATATTAAAAATTGAACAATTTAAGATTTTAACAAAAAATATGGTGTTTTTATACTTTATCCAACCTGCCAGAATACTTTTGTAGCTTCGATTACTTAATAATAATTCTAACTCTTGAAACATGCATGAAAATGCTCTGAAATTATATAAATGTTCAATAAACAACTTTTTCAAAATAAGTGTGAACCATAACTTGATTTCGTTTCAGTATAACAATGTGCATCGCTACAAAAATGAACACAAGCTTCTGAAGGAACTTTAATTAGTTCATTGTTTGAAAAGCACAAGAAACAATATTTTTATTGGCAATGGCTCTCTGAAAACGCATTTCATTAATTCTATTTCCATAGCTCTTCAGCCTGTATTGTGTAAAATGGAACATCGTAACTTGATTATTGATGATGGCTCTGATATTGATTCTGACAGTTCCGAGTCTTACAGCTCTCTGGCTTATAGGCATTTCTGAGTCTTACAGCTCTCTGAATCTTGCTATATGGAAGAAGATTAACAATTAATGCTCTTTAATGTGTTACAAGACATTCAGTCGTAGATGCGAATGGTCAACTGCTGATGTCACCAATAGACATATGACTCTCAGTCGTTCTTTATACCTCTATCATCAGTTTTGAAATTGTTAAATTGGCTGTATATCTTTAATGAGAAATTTAAAGACCCAATAACAGACAGACCCACAGAATGAAAGCATATATAATTCTTCAATTACATTACAGTCAACATTTCAGATATTTCTGTATAGTATTCCTGCTATCAGAGATGACGGTTCAAGTCTTCATCCCAAGATTTTTCACTTGAAAGTAAAAATTAATGTATTAATATGTAAAATATGATGATGGTGATGATGATGATAAGTAGTAATCGCATACTGAAATTGAAAAATGAAAACTAATGTAAAGATATCGGATGTGACTATGTAGGAATAAGAATAAACTATATAGGATGGATAGAATAACCATTAACCATTTCATGTCAAATTGGGGCCTTTTAGTCCCAGTCACCACTTTAACAATCCTAGAGAACTGCACATTAAAAAATCGTCCTCACTGTACACTTCCATGTCTATATACATATATATAAAGCTTTTTTCAAAAACCGCTCTGATTTTTTTATTTTTTTTTTTTTTATTTTCTCTTTGTATCAAAGGACAAGTTGCAAAAAGTTAACAGTTAATAACTATATAATTGTAGATAGAGATTTTTGTCTTAGACAAAATTTGTTTGTAAAAACCAACTCTTTAAGAAGGCTTTTTTTGTTTGTGTTGTGGTTATATAAAACAAAGAACAGTTTAAAGAATGGTTTAGTTCTGAGTTCCAGAAAATTGGAAATATTTGATTCAATCAGTTACATTTTCAAGGGTGGGCCTGAGTTCAAATGTCATTCTGTTTCTTTGGTGTAGAGGTATGGTCCACAGCAAGATAACTCGAAAGACTTTAAGTTTGAGTCTCGGTGGATCATGAGATGAGTAATATGCCTTAGAGATACTGTTTGTGGTATTGTTTTGGAGAAATTTAATCTTCAATTTTTTAAAATTGGTTTATCGAATTATTTTACCTGCAGTGGTTAAATCATTAAAGAGGAATATAATGATATTGCTTTTGTTAATATTTGAAAAACTTTTCATAAAAGTATTTTAAATATTACAAATTTGATATTGCATACCGCCACCATTTTAAAAATTTCTTGTCATAGCAACGGCTTCCTAAATTCTCTGCCTTTTCGGATGATGGCCTCATCTTGAAAATTGCCTTTGAGACCATTAGTTCAAAAGGGAAACACATTCTCTTGCGATGTTGGCAGAAAAATAAAGTTGACGTAGTTTTAAAAACTAAATTTTTCAAAAATGTTGTTATGGAGTAATGAGTAATTGTATGAACTTGTCGTCATGGAGTGAAGAAATCCATTGGGGCCCATTTAAAAAATCAATGTTGTGTCGATAGCTCATAAATTATGAAAGCTATATTTTAGTATTATAAGTAATATTATGTGCTCCTCATTTGTTTGTTTTAGTAAAAACCACAAATATCTGCAATGGTTTCAGAGATATTCCAAGGGAACATTTTCAGTGAGTGACCTTTAGTACATGTATGTGTATTCTCACTGTCTGTCTGGAAGACAACACACCCTAGGCATTGTTGTGGTTTTTGAATTCATCGCAGACTGTATGTAATTGCAGGACGGGAATTGCTATTGTAGACTCGAGAGATCATTAGTGTCATTGTGATCAGCAAATGCACTATGATTCTGACGGTCAGTGGCAGCCTAAGGTTTTGCCAATATGAAATGGAGCGTAATCATAGGGCTGTTTGTAAAACAGGGCTCTTCTAATTTGCACCCTCATTTTGTCAGTACCAAAATTTTCATTTTTCATTGTTTATAATTAAAAAGATTACTTTCCCTTCAGTAATTCTTAGATTTATTCTCAGTACTTCAACTCCCTAAAAGCACGAACTTCTGAACATACCCCCTCACTTACAATCACACACATACACACGCACATACGGTTTTACTGTGAATGTAATCTAATTTGTGTGAATTTGTTTTTTCGTTTTCCCAGTCATACTTTTTCCCTCTTGCTTTAATGAATTCTTGTGTTATTTAATAAGAATTTCTGTTTTTCAACTAGTGTGTCCAGTGGCTTGAGGATGCCAAGCTAAATCAGTTGCATAGAGAAGGAATCCGATATGCTCGAATCCAGCTGTGTGATAATGATATTTACTTTTTACCGCGTAACATCATTCATCAGTTTCGAACAGTTTCAGCTGTTACAAGCATAGGTAAGTGAACATTATAGTAAGTATTAAAATTGTTGAGACATGATTTTCGTAGGTAAATGAATAATATTAATGCCATCATTGTGCAGATAGCAAAATTTATGAAACGGATAATATATTTTTAGATTTTTTATCACAACCTGTTTTACTAATTTATTTCTTATTCTTCAATGGAGATCAGATTGTATACGTAATAGTTGCTACTGAAGTGGATAAAATTTTATTTTTTCGGATTTATCACCGTTTGTTCTTCCATATGAAACTAAATTACTTCCATTCTAGTGCCGTTTTCTACTCCTGGATGACAATTTAAACAAATTAATAAATAAGTGCAGAGAGTATCATTAATGTGTTTAAAAAGACTGATCAATTAGAATTTTCATCTTTGAATGCAGTAGATGAAATCAATTAGTTTTCTTAAAATAGAATACAGATCACGCATTTTCTTGAATTTTTTTAAACCAATTTTTGCTGTGCCACATACCACTTATTATGATGGTTTCAAACGTATGCATTAAGAGCATTTTTATTTAACTTATATGGAATGTTTTTAAAATGCATGTTTCATAAGCCAGGTCAAGATGTCCCTTGCACAGTTGTTACACACTGATTGTGAAATTCACTCACAACAGAAGTTGAAAATAGAAATGTATAACCATCTTGGTGCCCTGATAATTAAAGGAAGAAAGTCGGTAACATTTGGAATGTAATTGATTATGTAACAGGTGTATTTAGATGTCATCTTGCTAAAGGCGAGATCAAGTTTTTTACTACAATGTGAATCAGATACAACCGTCAGTCTAGTAAGACATGTGCTGTGTTCTGGACATCTGAGTAATGTTTTAAAATTTATTAGCTACTAGATAAGATTGTAGTGGTTTACTGTACCCATCAATTCAAAATGACATAAGAAAAACTAAGTGGTAAAGTAGACAAGGAATACAGTGGACGTCCATTATCTGAACATCAATCATCCAAAATGTGAAATTTCTCAACTCTCATTTTCTCTGAATAATTTTTTTTTTAATTAGGTACCGTATACTATACATATTCATTTTCTTTTGTAATACTGAATATCGAGAATGATCCCTGATATGTTTGACAGTGATAAAATATTATCCAGAAACTGTACTATAGTCAATCATCTGAATTCAGTGAATCTTTTACAAATCCTAAAATAAATGCTTAAGAACTTGGAACTATTATGAGCAAAAAAAAAAACTCTTTTCACCACCTTATGTGCTGTAGTATGCTTGTGTTTATTATCTATACGATTTTGTATGTGCAGTGCAGTGTTTTAATGGTTGAATCTCTTAATGAAACTTTATACATTTAGTGTTTTACGTACACTTGCCATTATTATGTTTAGTTATCCGAATTATTGAATATCCGAACTAAACTTGGTCGCAATTAGTTTGGGTAATCGACGTCACACTGTAATTTCTTTACATTCATTTTATACATAATATTCTGTGATTCTGCAACATTCAATATACTGTGCAATGATTCAGCTTTATTCTAGTGTTTTAGAAGTTATAAAATTCTAATAGAATATAAACAAAACGGTATACATTATTACATGTCCAACTAGCTAGACATTTGAATCAAGCTTTCACTTTGCATGGAAACATGTTGTAGAAAGCAATAAAAAAAGGTTTCAACACAATTTTTTGCCAGTACATGATGTATATTTCAGTACTATTAGTTGACAGTCCATGGATTTGGATCCGTGTAAAGCATCATTTTTGGTATCAGCAAACAAACATAATTTTGAAGCAGTGCTGAAGCTAGGCCGATTTTGATAACAGGCAATAACTGAAATTATGAACTTCATGAAAAAATCAAACATTTGAATATATTACATTTTTTTATAGAAATATTAAGTAATGATTAGTAAAAATCAGTGTGAAGGTAATTGCAAATTGTACATAACAACATTCAACTTTATAGCAAGTTATAAAGTTGTGCTTCTTTTATATTTATTTATTTTATTATTATTTTATTTACTCTAATGTATTTCAATGATTCCCCTACTGAAGGCCCAGGGCGATTGCTTTATCTGCACATACCTAGCACCAGGATGGTTTTAAACGTTCTTTATCAAATGACAATGATACTGAGTTACTTGATGCACTTCTGCAGTTCAGAAAGTGAAGTATAAATAATTTGTCACAAGTGATAATTTGTTTACTTATGACTTTTTGATCTCCATTCCTGTGTTTTTACATTCTCACATATTACATAGTTGCATAGTAGAGATGCCTAATATATACTTGCATAGTAATTTGCTCCTTTTCATGTAGTATTCTAAGGCTACAACAAAATTATAAAAGGAGGGATTTTATTGGAAAATCATAATGTGGGGTCACTTATACCAAGAAAGTGGATTAATCTCGCTTCTATATGTAGTTAATTACTTCCTCTAATACATTGTGTTGTCAGCATTCATGTTTTGTAGGTCCTAATTCCTAAGAATTGGTTTACAGAAAACTGTCCGTCTGTGAACAACGCCAGCAGCTAAATCATAGGTAGGGTTTGCACCAAAATTCGTATTACCTGATCAATCTGGTTGATGTTCTAGTCTCTAGAATTCCAGTGGGGTATTTTGATTTTTGGTTGTACTTTATTGGAAGCTTCAACAATATTTTCCAAAATTTCTTCAAAATGACTCCAAATATTTTAAAATGTCACAGGTTCAATTTTTCATGAATTCATTGTATTTTTTGAAAATTGCGAAAGTTCAGCTTGTTTTGCAGTCTTTCTGTAACTACAATACTGAAGATTTTTTCTGATTAAAATCTTTTCTTCAAGATTAGATCTTGAAATGTATCCATGAAAAAAATGTCTATGAAGATCTCTGAGTGTTTCAGAAATTGTAAATGTAAATGTTCAACTAAGATTGTATCGCATTCCAAATAATGTGTGAAAGTATATGCGGTAGTAGCCCGTTTAGTTTAAAGAGAAAGTTGGGTATTTTACGAATGTTTGTGATAATGTATTAATTTTATGTTTCACACCACTTCTACTTAAGTTTTGATAATGTGTAAGTTGATAAATGATGTATTTTATGAGGATGTTTAAAATATCTGGGCAAAAAATGTTGTCTCCAAGGAAACTAAAACCAAAAGTTCAGCAAGCTGGACAGACCATTCACACCTATTATCCATGCCAAAAAGGTACAGGTACAAGATTCAATTTGAGACAGAGGTTTGAAACGTAACCTGTAACCTGATCTCTTTTCTTTAAAAAGCACAGATGCCCCGTTATTCTGTGTATGTGTGTGTGTGTTTTTTACAATAAATCAGAGGAATCAGAACAATCATGGTAATAAATCAGAGGAATCGGAAATTAAAAGACCTAGCAAGTCAACATCATCTGCACCTCTGCAGGCCAATTTAAGACACTTGAATATTTGAAAATCCCATATAACTCAAATTTCTAAATGTATTAAGAGGATCATAGTATTATAATTTATCAGGTAGTGATGATTATGATAATAATAATAAGAAGAAGAACAACAACGACAACAACAATTTAAAGTCTGCTTAAAACATTCTTTCATTCTGACTGCCTGAGAATTAGTTTCTCGTTTCTCTTCTAAAGTATGCTTCATTTGAATCACATTCTTTTGAAAAAAAGTGACTGTCTTCCAATCATTGTAGGCAGAATGTGTAAATTTAATGCTTTTCACAAACTAAACAACCTATTTTTAGTACAAATTTCACATAGGAATATTGGTGCAACACTGGGATTTTTAACTTGGTTTAGTAACATACTTTCAAGTTTATTTTGATTTAATATTAATAAATGGATCAGAAAGACAGTCTTGTCACTACAATTCTGAAAGAAAGTGTGTTGAATAGTTTATAATTTTTCAGTATACTTTTTAAAATCCAGAGACCAACCTGGCATAGCCTACAATAAATTTTCTTCAACTTAAAACAAATCTAGTGTGCCAAGAAATATCGACAGTGAATTTCTTTTTAATCTTCAAATAAATTCTACGATGTGTAGGGCCATATTAGTTATGTAATTGATATGCTCATTGAAATATCATCTATAGTTTATAATAATTCCTATATCTCTAATAGACTGAAAGGATTTTAGTCCTTTATTGTTGATAAAATACTAAGAGTTCTAGATACCACAGGAAGATCAAGAATAACATTCACCCACACAGATCTAGACCATTGATAATACACCGGTAGTTAACATCATCTTTCAAAATAATTAAAAAAGTATTCTTCAAATGGCTTTAAAAAGATTATTAATACTGTGAAGACATTTTTAGGTTTAGGTTTTTGTAAAACTACAAAAATTTGCCCAGTTTTTAGAAAAAGTTAGTTCCGATTTAATTCAGAGTCATTATCTACTCTGTCTCTTATAAAACTTCACAAAAATTTTGGAATGTTATTTATATAATGTTTCATATACTTCTGTGAATTACTACTTTACTTTTCCTTTACTACCACTCGTTACCTTTCTCACCACCTTTGCTATGTCAATTTCTGCCTTTCTTGCTGAATATGGACAGGTCGATGTGATTATGCAAACTTTTCAACAGCTTTTTAGTGTGCTTGATCATGACATAATAAATATATTTAAGATGATTAATTAAGTGTGTGTGTTAGTTTTAAATTCCTATAAAGTCATTGGGCAACTGTGGTTTGGCATAGATTTTTAAACGAGATGCATAAACATTGTCTAATCACAAATCTTTTAAAACTCAGTAAATGAAGAGTAAAGTGTTTTGCTCATGCTATTTTTTGTATTAGTTTACTCGAAACGGAAGTATGTCTGATTTGGTGTCCAAAAAATGAGAACCTTTAGCTGTCATTGGTAAAAGATCAATGAAGGCCTCTCAAGCTTCTTAAATTCAATGAGAGTGTACCCTAAAAGGTACAGACGATAGATATGTTTTACAAATTCAAAATCATACCAAGTAATATTCAATAGTACTAGCAAATTCAAAATAATAGCAAAAGTTAAAATAACACAAGACC